GAAAGAAGGCTTTAAGCTTTAATTCAATTTTTATCTACTCAGCTATAACCATTTATGAGGAAATGGCCTGAAAAACCTCTCAAGACAGCGTCTGGGGTCCTTGTTGCTAGGGAAAAGCCTCACCAAGCCCCTAATCCACTCCTAGTGCTCTCCTTACCAATTAGAGATGTGTACAAGTTAGTGGATCACTTTAAGTCATTCTGATTAGTGATTGCGTGTACAAAGGAAGGAACTAAATGTAGTAGTACAATCCTCTTCACACACAAATCACAGACGAATAGCACCCCGCTCTTAATTCTCGTGACAGCCCAAGCCATTCTCTGAATATGAGGTAGGATGTGGCAATTTAAAAAGGAACTGAGTCCCCCCCCCCAGTGTACGACTAATGGGAAAAATGTCCTTTGACACCGAACTGTACAGACAAATCTGCCCTCCCTGTTTTTATGAGGTCACTAAAAGAGTATTGTAGAAGTGTTGCTTAAACTGCAATAAAAAATGACGAAGCAATAAAAACATGTCATGGACATTAATAAAGGCTGTTCACATGTAATAAGACGTAAGTGTTTTGAATTTTTTTTTTTTTTAAAAAAAGGCATTCGAGAAACTGATACGGATACCCAATTATACCTACATCGAGCTTTAGCTAACTACACACTCTTTACGTGCCTATTAAATAAAGTGGAGTCATTTCCTGTAAGTATGACCCGTGGTTTCAGTCGTCTGCAAACAGGATAAGCCTTTAATCATAAGATATGCCCCAAAGTTATAGCCAGAGCCCAATAATCCAGAAATATGGATGACAGGCTCAGGTGATGCTGTGTCATCCTATTACTGACATCTATTTTCACTCTTTCAAACCTTTTCAAACGCTGCCTCTGGGCAAGCAAGATGTCACGCTCAGGACAACCTGATTTACTCTCCCCTCCTTGTCCAGCACTGCAAGTGACACCATCTATGGATTTTGGGGGGTCATTCTCGCACAATGCCTCTAATTTAGCTCCCTAAAGGGAGGCGGAGGTGGAGGAGCAAGAAATGCGCCAGAGGTCACCCGGGACAGAGAGGCAGCAGAGCTGCATGAGAGGCGGGGGGTTGGGTAAGGGGTGCGGTTCCCCGAAGGCTGCCAGGGTCGAGCCCTTGCCATTGTGCGACCTCTAGCAAGCTAGCGATCAAGACTGCTGCTGGTGAAAGGACTAGCTGCGATGTACAGTGAACATCTAAAAGTGCTCCACAACACCTTCAGTGTCCGATATTTATCCCTTCATTTTCGGCAGTTATCGGTGATTAGCAGTTGTGACATGCAATTAGTCACTTGACAACAAACAGCCTCCAGAGCGATATTAGCTAGCAGGTGTCAAACTGGAGCAGGTCTTTAACTTGCCCGGTGAGTGGGCACACAACAGTAACTTGCATAGTACAATATATTTTGAAGTGATTTTGTTTTTCCACTCTGTCACCCCTTAGCTTTGGTACAGGGGCTTTCCAATACGGCCACTGGTCACCTACCTCCGGCTAAACAGTAAAGCCGCGGGCGGCTGTGAAGCTAGGCTAGACATTAGCTGTGGTCGTTAGCGCACACCGATGCTAACTATTTAGCCGGGAGAAGGGATTGTGAAGCTTAGGTAAAAGCTCACTTTCCTCCCAGGCTGCGCTTTACAATTTAAAGTAACTTCTATTACGTGTGACAGAAAAGGGAAACAGGTAATGACATTAAGGTATGCCGACGGTGTGACAGGTATTTCACGTTACGTAGTTAACTAAACGAAAGCGTCGTGGAGTTGGGCTAACGTTACCTGTTTGGTGGGATCGTTTCTCCCGTGCTCAGAAGACAGGTGATGTCTCAGCAGCAAGGCCCGCTTGTAGTTGCGACTGCCTTTGACGAGCTCGTCGCTGTTTTTAGTGGCAATGTTGTGACACCAGGAGCACGACATGAGTCCAGTCTCCTGGCAAAATTTGAGCCATGGAAATTCTTGCAACCACGAAGCGTGGAAAAGCGAGTGTTTCTGAAGCAGCGTCTGCGGTCTCATCTCTACCCCAGATTTCCTGGATCCCGTCTCGCCTCCCCTGGCAGTCTCCTGGCCGTCAGCGCTGTTGTTGTGACCGTTCCCCGCAACCCAGTTTTTCCCGTCCCCGGACCCGTCCTCCGTTTCCACCGAGTCGACACGATCGTCGCCCTCCCCAGCTGCCCGACTGCCCCCTTCCGGGTCCTCTTCTTCCTCCGCCTCGGGTTCCGTGCTATCGCTGACAGATCCAGCGCCCTCCACTCTCTTCTGCGATGGTCCTTTCGCCCCCAGATCCCTGTCCTCCTCTTGATCCGGCCTGTTCCCGTTAAAATGTCGATCTTGACAGGCCGGGGCCTCCCAGCTGTTACAGTTCCCCCCACCAATACCGCTGGAACCCGTTACCCCAGCTAATCCACCTCCTCGGAAAGCCAGCGACCTGCGGTTTCTCTCACCGGACATTTTTTTTTCTTAATATATGTTAGAATCTTCACTTTCTCAACAGTATCCCCCCTCCTCCGATTAAAATGCTGTGTTTATAACCGATGTGTTTTCCGAAAGAGATGGACCGTCGTCGTTTCTGCGCTCCGCTCGGCCCTCCCGGTGAGAGTATGTAGGTTATGCGGAAATAAATAAAGGTTTTAAACGCATAATGAATTTCAGGGTTCTCGCTGCGTCCGCGCAGGCCCCGCAGAGGTCGAATGGCAACGACTTTCCTCCCCACAATGCACCTCGACCAGAGGGGGCGGGGGGGAGGGGACGTGTTGGTGGTAGTGGTGGTGGGGGGTGTCTTTTTAAAGGAAGATGACGGGGGGGTAGATCAGCATGGGGTCTTTTGTGCTTTAAAAAAAAGCACCCATTTTCCGCATGCTTTTCATCTGATGTCTGTTTGTTTTATTAGACCGCGAATGTCAAATCACATTCCTCACGGCGGGGTGTCCCAACATTCACGAATGTCTGCAGAAGGAAACTTGTCGGGTGTCTTTTTTATATTATCCATTTATTTACTTTTTATTATAGTGAATTATACATAAATAAATAAAGGTTGGTATTTGAATATAAAGAAGTGGGGCCAATAAATATACATAAAAGCATGTTAACCGAGATATTTATTCCAAACAAAATTGCTTACACTACACTAATATTAAGTCAAGATTCGACATTCAACACCACAATATTCCCCCTGAGCTTTATGTGGTGTGTGTAAGACTGTTGCCTTATATTTTGTATGTGCTCGAAGAACATTTGCATTTGTGTTTTTTCCAGATCTCCTTTGTTGAGTTTGCTGATGCATGTTGAACCCTAAAACAAAGGTGTTATTGATTAACTGAGATTTTGTATATATATTTTGAAACGCGCGTGTCTGAAATAAAGTCACGCAATGCGTTTGGACGCGAAGCGTCATTCTCTGGAGACTCCAGCCTTGTATTCTCGCGTATTTGCTCGTCTCCCACTCCTTGTGATCAAAACGAAATCCAGTAGGTGGCACTCTTTCATCTGAGCGTCTTTTCTCACCCTCAGTGTGTGTCACATTGCTTGGTGTATAGTTTCATTGCTTCCCAATTAAGAGCTTTGCACACACAGCGTGTGAACAAGAGTGGGAATTAACCCGGGTTTGGATGACAATAACGTGGAGGATTGTATATCCCACAGGAGTGGGTAAATCCCCAAGAAGAAGACAAGGAATGTTTTGTATGGCTACTGTGTGTGTGTTTATTCATCTAGCTCGTACAAGCTATCAGCTGGAAAATAAAAATATAATGGAACTAAAAGGAAAAATAACTGAAATTCCTTCGATTCTGTCATACTAAAATGCAGTGTGTCATCTCGCATCAAATGAACAGCAGGCCTTGCAGGTGGCAGTGAATTCTGTCTCAGCAGAGCAATGACTGGCTGTATCTTTAAAATTAGAAATAAATCTTGAGTTGACTTGATTGTAAATGGAGGTTAGTTTGAGCTTAAGAAAGATATGTTCAAAACAATATTTAGCCGAATATATATAACTCTAAAAAAGAAACAAAAAGAAGAAAAACAAAAAAGAAATAGAAACTAATAGCCATGATAAAAATTGATATTGATATATAATTTCATTCTTCCTGTATATGCTGGAGTTACATGATGTGGAGCAGCAGTATTTTCCTCACTATTAGTATTAAAAATAAAATGATAATGATTTAAAAGCCCGATTTAACTGGCTTTTCTTTAAACTTATTTAACTGTCGCCGCCTGAGACTGGCACCAGAAGCAACACGTTTGCATGTGTCATAGTCTTCTTCGTATTTTATCTGACACTGTATCTGTAAGAAAAATAAAACAACATATATATACATCTCTGATGGACAGAGTCTCCCACCCCATGCATGTAGATGTTGCTGAACTGCAGAGCTCCTTCAGTGACAGACTGCTGCATCCTCGATGCATGAAGGAGCATTTCCGCAGGTCCTTCCTCCCTGCAGCTGTCAGACTGTACAATCTGAACTGCTCCCAACAAACATAGATGTTTACATCAATGCTGTAACTGCAATAAGTTAGTTAATTAACCAATTCGCACTACAACCTGGTTTGCCTCTTACCTGTAATTATTTTTATTTAATTTAATAACTGTACAGTACTCTCTGTTTATAGTAACCATTGTCCTTAATGTAAATATGTAAGAAAAATTGTGTATGTTTCTGTTCCGTGTCCTGTGTACTGTTTGTTTGTATATTTGTCTTTTTGGCTGCTGTTACAACCAAATTTCCCCTTGTGGGACAATTAAAGGATTATTCTATTCTATTATTCTATTCTATTCTATAGACGACTACACTATTGCAGATACATATACATTTTACATATACATATACATACTCTTGTTGTACAGTAAAAAACAAACAAACAAAACAGAAACACAAATAATGACGTGTCCTTGTTGCGCAGCTTTACATTGTTGTTGGGCTAAAACTTGATCCACGTGCTTGCTTCTGTTTACACTGCTGCGTGCTGACGTCACCGCGAACCCCACCCCGCACGGCGGGCTGCCTGGCAACATGAGGCAGAGAACAGGAAGACCCACAGCAGGAAAGTGAACAACCTGCGGACCCTGAGTAGAAATCGACAAGAAACAACACTTTGGACAGACAATGGAGGATGCAGACAAAGGTAATTAAATCATCGACGTGTGCCAGTGTCGTAGTAGATGTTTTAAAACTATTTTTTCCTTAGAGAAAAGTTAGCGGACTAGCTAACTTTGTGCTGTGACTCGAGTTAGTTCGTTGAGAGCATATGCTACCTCTCGCCATACGAATAAAGTGAGTTATTTTGCGACGGACAACAGTTTGAAGAATTTGAAGAAGAAAATAACTTTTTTCAGCAGCACCACTGCAAGAGATTTCTAGAAAAATGACACGGAAGTGCGGTGTCACGCCACAATTTTCATTTTTTTTTTACCAGCATGTAAACCACCCATTACTTATTAGGTGGAACCATAAACGCACATTTTCAGTTTTTGTGTGAGTTAAAAACTTTGACAGGCAGTGAAGAAAAGCAGTAAAACACTAGTCAACAACATATTTTGTAACTGACGGCTTAGCCTGTAAGAATGGGTTACACCTGTTTGACAGCGCACTGCTATAACTAGTTCAGACAAGTCACGCTGTGCTCTTATGCTCTTTCAAATGGTTTTTTACACTGGAAAAAAAGTTTTATTTTGAAATGTACGAACTCTTATTCTATGCCAAAGTGGTTGTGAGTTGTGGGTGGCTTGTATGTCCAACTTTTTGTGATTTTACTCATAAACAGCATAATCCATTCTTCTCTGATCTTTGTATTATTTTATTCTACTTCATTTGCACTAAAGTGCTTGTGGAAAGAAGCAAAGCATCTGAGTTTTATTTGTTAATTTAAAATGTCATGTTGGAATTTGCAGCACAAACAACCTTCACCCTCCTCTGGGTTCTCAAAAGTAATTTTCTGATGGTTGAAAGTTGTTTTGTGTTTTGTGTTTTTTTTTTTTTCCTTCTTCTTCCCTTTTTAATAACGCAGAGAGAGAAAGCCAGAACAAATGTTGCGTATGAACACCAGAATTATTGATGTAACTGGTTCCTGATTGATAATTTGTGCTTCTCCATATCAGAAGAAATGAGGTGTGTTTCTGCATCACTTTCTGTGTTGCTGCCAGTGGACACAATAGAAAAGAATGCTTTACTTGGCTTTAAATGCCACGCTTGTGAAGCCCATTCCTGAATTAGAGTTGCAGGTCCTGAACACATCCTTAAGTAAATGGTATCTTAGTAACTGTTTGATCTGGGTTCTCTTTGCTCATAAAGGTTTCTTGTGGTATGCTTTGGAGGGTTTTCCCTTCCCACATGACATGTTTTTTCACTGTGTGCGTGCAGCGGATGCACCAGTAGATATCTTGTCTTTTAGTGGTTTTATAAGTCATTGTATGTGACCTTAAAAAACACACTTTGAAAAAAGGTGAATGCCAGATTTCTTTTAAGGCTGTGCACACTTGCACTACAGGCTATTGTTCATCAAAATCGCAATAAAACAGGCCTGTACCACAAGTAATCGCAAGAAAGTGAAATTGCATAGTTATCAGATAAAGGGGAAACTCTTTGCCAATCTCTAACTTTACTGCAGCCTTGAGGTGGTGTCTGTTTACCTCTCTAGGCAGCAAAAGTAAATGATCTGCCTCTCGAGATGTAATTTTATCACCTTAAATATCATCATAGGAACTGCTGTGCTCTCTGAATTTATAGTCACACTGCTGTACAGGCAGCCAAGTTTGTTTCAAGGTCAGACTTTTGGTATGGTAGCTGTATTTTACTACCATCTGTACCTGCATCCTCCTCGTGGAAGTTGAGGACGCTCAGTGACAAGTATTTGTTTGCTCCAATACAATAACCTCCCTTTACGTTATTTATTTATTTTATTTATTTTAAGGGAGGGTTTCATAGGTTAGATGCTTCAATCCTTTGTCAGTAATTCAGGTAAAGCATTTGCAAATAACTTGGTGAACAGGTTTTTTGCAGGACCATGGTCGGAGAGTGCTCTGACTGGTGCCTCTCAAAGGAGTCTGCTCTCCCTTGATTGTGTGTCTCTGTGCAGATGACCTTTAGATAACAAACTTGTCTGTTTGTGTCCTCCCTTTTTCTTGCAGTATAATGTTATTTTTTCCATAGTGAATGTTTTTTTCCCACTTAAACTCAGGTTCAGTGAAATTTGTGGTTGACTCAGATGTGCCTTATGATCTTGTCAACCTTGATTTGCCTGAACCTAAATGCCTTCTCACTCAGTCATATTGTTCCAGGTCAATGTCAAGGACTGTAGAAAGTTTTTGTACTCCAGACTAACTTTTATTGTTGTTTTGAATGTTGCCTGTTTCATTGTCTGCATACAGGCTTGTGGCTTGAATCAGTTCAGAAAGGACGTGGTCAGGTTCACCAGCCCGTGTTGTTTTTCAGCTACCCGGTCTAATGAGATTGATCAGGAGCAGAAGCCAACATTTTTTGGCTTTATTAGATTTCTGTGATGCACAACTGTTTGCTTTCAGCTGTCAGAGGAAGTCTCTCACAAACAACATCCCCACCCCAGTAATGCAGATCCGGTCGTTTGAGCTGGAAATACATTCAGCACATCCAAATCATACTTTAAAAGCTGCAAACATTGCATGTGTTTATGTAAAGGTTTGCTATGATTTGTTCAGTCATGCCAACAAATGTCATATTGGGCTACAAGCTGTGTCAGTCTGGCCTGGACCTCCCATTTAGTGAAAACCAGATGTGTGTTTACCAAAACCATTAGTATTTGAAGTCTACTCAGAAATACACCTGTCAGGAGTCATGGCTGTTGTAGATCATTTTAAAAGGACTTTTTGAAGGGTTTGATGTATGTGAGAAGCTGTAGCCTTGAAAGCTGTAACTTTGAATGTTGGTGTCGCCAGGTTTGCACATTTCATTTCAAAGATTAAAGGGAACACCAGCTGTCTATTTGAAAACTTTGTATGTGGACCTGATAGTTGCCTGAAAGAAAACGTTGGGAAATATGGTATAAGATACTTTATGCTGGTCCAAAAAGTCTGAAGTTTGAAAGAATACTCAGGCAAACATGCTTTTAACCTAAATATATACATCACAATGCAATGCATTTAATATTTATCTGAATTGTTTGAAGTTTCAGCAGTAAAATGCAGTGATCAGGCTCTGTTAAACTGAACGAAAAAGAAACTCAAAGGTCATTAAATTCCACTACTTTCAGTACAGCTTTATGGAGAATTTTTCACCGACTTGTGAGATTTGGCCAAGCAGCACTCTCACCTGCCTGGTAGTTTATTTTCCAGTGAAAGACTGCAGACAGAAACTTTGATAAACTATTTAAAAGAAAGTTCAGTAGAGATATAAATTATTACTCCCAATTAACCAAAAGTTCTTTTTTTATTTCAGGTTACTTCTGTCCCTGCTTTCATTATCTTTTAATTGGTACCTTACATGACTGTAGAAGGTTTGGCAGACCCTTTGTTCCTGTCCGATACCTGCTGTTTTCATCTAAACTCCATCACTTCACTTATTTAAGGTTTTGTAACACAATCAGGGAAAAACTTAAACTTTTAGTGTTTATTGGTCATCTTAAGCCCGGCTAAGATGTATAATGACTGCAGAAAGTTTTGGTTTCATTACTTTTTTAATGTGCTGTACTACCGTGCTGCTCTATACACCATGTCCTGTATTTGTAGTGCAAATAGAGTAAGATGGTGAATCTGTTTTGGAAGTAGGCCACACAGCAACAGCTTTCCAATCTGTTGCCATACATTAGACCTTGTATTTGGAGAAACAACCCACTTTTAGTGTTTACCGTTGTTTGAAAGATGAGAGGATTGACACCCTTTTCCAGTTTGAATGGTTCATGTACAGTTGTGTTGTGGGTCGGTTAGCTGTTTCCAGTTGTTTCCAGTTGTGCGCTAACCATCTGTAAGCAGCTGCTTCACATTTAAGCAACAGATCGAGAGGAGATTTTTTTTTTTTTCCAGCCTGTCAGACTAACTTTAATCAGCTTTCATCTCCATGTTTGTCTTAAGTCGTGTAGCCAAGAGTCTAGATTGAATGCACATGTACAGTATCGGTGTCCATCTGAGGTGTGGCCACTTCCCATCATGCACATCTCATGCTTTGTGGGCCTAGTCAAAGTATCCACAGTTATCCATGTCTCATGATTCCTGTTTAGGCTAATCGTGTGACAGGCTCTGCTTTGAATAGTAAGGTAATTGATCGTGCACTGTTCTTCATTAGCCGCTCTAAAATGGCTGTTTGTTTGTGTTTACGGTCACAGTCGCGGCAGGGGTTGATTTGTGTTTCTGTTTGTCTTATAAATCAAATGGGATGCTTTAATGGCATGAACTTATTCTGTGAAAATGTCTGGTTTGTGACCTTGACTTTCATCATTTTTAATAATATAGCTATACAAGCGTACTGGTTTGTGTGCACGTGTGTCTGTATGTGTTGTTTTAACAAGTATCACATGGATTAGGGGCTCCACTGATCAGGAGGGCTGCGGAGTTATGTTGAGTTCATCATGTTGGGAGGCCTGTCCAGTCTAGCTGAGAGAGATACTGTTTGCTAAGATATAAAAATGAGTGTGCTGGTTCGATCCGTTTCAGTACAGAAGGATTCTTGTAGAAAAGTATTTGTGCTTGCATCTTAACGAGGACCTCTTGTATTCATATTTACCTCTATATTTGTATTCTGAGACTTCCCAGTTTAAGAAAATATTTTTTTCTGCTAAACTGACCCCGTCATACAGGCTTTCAGCTCATATTCTGCCTGAAACAATCACTTTCGTCTGGCTTCCACAAAGTGAACCACAAAGTCTTTGTGAACACTACTTCCTCTTTTTGGGAGTATGCAAAGTCACAAAAACAAACCTACTGAGGGACGTAATTTCTTATTGTTTATGTTGTGGCTGACTTGTGGGGAATGTCATAAAATGCCAGTTGAGAGGGGAAAATATCTGTTGTCAGGAAATCCCAAAGTTACAGAAGCCAGAGAAATATTACCTGCAGCCGCCAAGTGAATGTGTAATGACTCTCAGCACTGGAGGCTGTTTGTATGCCGGAGTACTTGAAGAAGTGCCAGTAATACTAATCATTTAGACTGTTTTAAGAG